CTGATAGAAATTCTATGAGGTAGAATATCTATTATGACTTATTACTCACTGGTGCATCTATAGCACCCACAACAATGCCTGGCATTTATGTAGGTATTCAATACATATTTATTGGATTTTTTCTTTTGCCTCAAAATCACCCAATTTACTATTATTATTTTTTTTGTCACTAAGTTCCAACTATTCTTAGAGAAAACTAAGAAATATGCTTATGAAATCATCATGAGTTGATCCTGAGGACTCTTCCTATCTCATTCACCCCTGCTCTCCTTCTGCACTGGCTTTCAGACTGACGGATTCCTCCTGACTTTGGGGGCTTCGCATATGCTGCTCCCTCTGCCTGGAACCCCACTGTCCTCCACTGGAGATAGCAATTGAATTGTAGCAGCCTGCTTATTTTATGGTTTCCATTATGGAATACGTATCTGGGACTAGTCCACTGGGGAGTCCTCAGTCCCTAGAATACAGTAAGACTCGTTGTACACCATTTTGCATTAAATCCTCTCATAAAGAAACACATTTTTTAACTGTTTAGTAAATATTTTTAATAAGTTTCCTCCTCTAGGATGACAAAAATGCCTTTAAAATGTCAGTGAAGTGTGTTCAGATGGATAATTTCTTGAAATAGAGTGATGAAAAATCAGAGCTTATCTCTGGGCCACCCTAGTGGGATCACAGCTTGGACACTGAGCTTAGTTTTATGCACCTTATGTTCTAGGTAACTGGAAGATGATTGGAAAAGATGGCAGTAAGAAGGATTAAGTGTGATTGTTTATGAGGCATAGTTAAAAGGAGACAGCACACATATGTTCACTGACTATAGGGAATGGACCGATGTCTAAATATCTGATGAATAAATCCACCAAAGGAACACATTTAGCATGGAAAGACAGAGGGATAAATAAGGTGAGAAAGTGAAAGGGGGAAAGTTCTAGGGAACAGTTAGCATATTGTGGGGTGGCTGTGACTAGCAACTAGAATTCTCCAACAGAAGCTAAAAACGTGAATGATCACAGTCGGAGGCACTTGTGAAGGAGCCTGGAGCTCTTGAGGGCAGCTGATGCCTCAATATTCTGGACTTGGTATTACAACTAAACCAAACAGCATCATGTTCATATTGTCTGTGGTTTCTCCCATGAAACCTATCCCCCCGTGAGTTTTGTCTGAAAGACTGGATTATAACCTGTGACATATGGCGGAGATGAATTATGCAGAGGGTCGAACTATTTGGCCTCTAATACACTTTCTAATTTTGACATTGCTTCCAACTGAAGGATTTCCATGTGGGTCCTGCGTACTCAAAGTAGATTGCAGTTGGATGTGTATAACTAAGCAGTAGAATAGGATGTGACCACTAGGTTTTCCACATAGCATGATGGCATCAAGCTTTGTGAGAATTTGTGGGGTCACCTTTGCTGTTTTGGTTTATGACTTGGTTAAAAAGAATGACCCTTCCAGCACTTCCATTGCCGGTTTTTCATGGCCAGAACGCAGCTACCCATCTACCATGCGTTTATTTCTTGTTTACTTATGGTGAAATGAAATGTCTGATTATGACTCTTCTGTCCATGACTTTGTAACTCCCACCAAAGGATTGGGTGGGACTATGTAAATAGGAAGTTTGAAACATGAATAGAGGGATGGATCGGTTTGGGTTGTTGTTCCCCTGGTTGTCAGAGCACGATCTTAGAAGCAGAGAGCAAATTCCTGAGACCATCAAGGAAGAACCAATAGCAGAACATGCTTGAGATCCCTCTCTGCTTGAAGCAGAGGAGGCAGTAGAGGCCATGCCACACCGAGACCAGAGGCTGAGCCAGGAGACCGTGAGACAGAGCAGAGGAGCAGTGCTGAGACTGTGAGCCTGTGAGGCAGAGAAGCCTGTGGGCTTCCTGGCCAAGGGTCTATGTGGCTGAGAGATGGAGACGCAGCTAAAGAGACTTGGCTGCTGGGTGAAGAGAGACACTTCTGTGGACAAAAGGCCATATCATTAATGCTTTCTGGTCATAGCTTGTAGTAACACATTACCTCCCCTAATAAACACCCATAACTGTATCATTTGTGAGTTCTGTGTGGCCATTGCAATGGATTATTGAACCCAGCAGAGAAGTTGAGTGCCGTGGAAGGGATGTCTGATGTCTTAATAGGGGAAAGAAAGATGGAGGGCGGGAGGCATGTGTGACCTCGGCCTTGTGGCAATTGACCTTGGGCTGCTGTGGCGACGGATTCTTCTTCTCCCTACCAAAACCAGAGGAGTCAGATGCGGCCTTCCTGCTGATTTAGCATCACTACATGCTCCAATCCCAGTCAATTCGTTTGCTGCAGTATGACGGCTTGGATGTTGTTGTCAGGCTGAGAGCTAAGGCACTTGCTTTTCTAAATTCCAGTAGGATCACCCAAGCTGGATTAGTGTCAGCAAAGCTTCCAGACTAAGCACTTAGGGAGAAAGGCCTGGCGGTCTACTTCATGGAAGTCTTAAGGGTTAAAAAGAACAGTCTGACGAACTTACTTTGGACACATCATCAGTCAGGACCAATTGCTGGAGGAGGACACTCTCTCTGGTAAGGTAGAGGAGGAGACGGATTGTAGTAGGCTGCCTGGATCATCGTCTTAGATACTGAATACATTCATGCCACCTGTCCTTTGACTGCTAAATAGAAGATGTACTGATCATAGGCTGATACTGCTCAGGAGGAGAGTCTAGATGAGCTTTCCAGTTTCATATGGTTCAGTGGCTTCTTCCACATTTAGTCTGGTTATTGACACATGTCTTGGAATCTCTTATTCTGATCAGCTTGAGAGAAGCTGGGACTGCTGAGCTGAGTGTATGCTTACAAAAGCAGGGGAGAAAGCTGTTGTAGAATAGTAAAGATCTCCCAATTGACAGAAGATTAGGCTAGAAAGCAATAACAAGGGCTGTTCTTTTTTAATTCCTGTGCACAAAATGAGTCTGTGTCACATATCGATCACATTCCCATTGTTTTTATATGATTGTTTACAGTGGCATGGTTCTCTTGTATACTCACAATTCTCTAATATTTTTTGCGGCCATAGTGCATGACCTGTAAACTGATCATAATCCATTGTGACATCCTCTGAGAGTCAAGCTTCCAATGACATTAGTCTATCACACCAGGATACTTAGCAGGACACCTTAGTGCTCTCCATGGGGTTCAGACATCAGAAAGGATGAAAGAGCTAAGACTTGGTGTAACCAGCTGCATGTAATGAAACAGGTCAAAGAGAAATGTGAGAGAAAAGAACATGGTGCCAAAGAAAGTGGGGGCATATCTCAGTGTTTGTTCATCACTCTTTGTTTCTTCTTTTTCAAATGTAAAAGATCAAGGCAATTTCCCTTATCCTTTGGGCCTATGATTTGAAGGGGAAGAGCAGAATACAAGAAGTCACTGTGAGAAACAGCCATCTCAAGAGTAGTAAGACCAGAGGGGAAGATTGTATTCGGCAAGAGGGAGATGAGACCATCAAGTGGGATCGGGTGGGCAGGGCAAACTATTGGGGGATGTGCTAAGTAGCTGAAATTGTTGAATACACAATTGATGACCTGAAATGTAAACCCCCACTTAATTCAGCAAGACTCCTCTCTGTACTCTGCTTTTGGGCTGTATGACCTTGTGCAAATCATGTAGCCACTCTGTTATTTGCAATTGCATTCACTGCCAAGTTAACCTCTCTGAACATAATGACAACTGTGAGAATGGCGAGGACCAGGCAGTAATCTTGTTCATTTAGGGTTGCTATGAGTCAGAAAAACTCAAGGTTGCCTGGCAACAACTCCCAATAGACCAAGAGTATCATGAGGTTAGGAACTAGGTCTGATTAAGTCACTTCTGCAATGCTCACTCTCACTGTGCTCCAATGGTCATTCCGCAGCAATTGCATTGATAAAATGATGTTGAGTTTTAAAAGTGTGAGAACACAGGGGCATGGTGGTTACAGAATTGTTTAATTGATCTGGAGTGTGGACAGTGAGAAGGGAGATCACTTCAAATTTCATTCAGTTATTCAAATGACACACACACACACACACACACACACTGGGTGCTTACTGTGCATCAAGAGGCCCTGGTGGTACCGTGGTTCCTGTTAACCACAAGGTCAGCAGTTTGAAACCACCAGCTGCTTTTGAGGAGCATGACGGGCTTTCTACTCCTGTAAAGAGATAAAGTCTCAGAAACCCACAGGAGACAGTTCTACCCTGTTCTATAGGGTCGCTGTAAGTCGGCTTCAACTCATTGACAATGAGGTGTGTGTGTGTGTATGTGTGTAACTATGTGCCAGACATGATTTATAGGTATTAAGGAACCTGCAGTGGCGAAAACAAACATGTCGTCCACAGAGGTCTTGCCTTCTAGCAGGCAAGGGAGGCAGTTAGCAAGATCACCTAGACAAAGACAAAAGTGAGGTGGAAACAGCAGAAAAGTGATCTAAAAGAAGGGAAGTTTGCGGTGCAATATTTATTCAGGATGCCGAGTAAGGCTGTAGTCTAAACCGAATCAAGGCAGGCACTGTGAGCTCATGCGAGAGAAACATAAAGGAAGGAAGACCTACGAAATTTAGAAAGATCCAGAGTGGGGAGAGGAAATGGAAGGCTATCCAGCCTGCGGGCAGTAAGGAAGAAAGGGTGAGTCAGGCTGACTATGGGAGGAGAGAAGTAAGCCAAAATGCAGATTTTCCTTTACTTGCAAAGAACCATGTTTCTTTTCCACTGAAAATAAAGCGATGGTTGTGCGTTTTATGACAGAAACCTTTTCCAAAGGGATTCTTTTGCCTTCAGTTGTCTCCTCAGAGGGGATCCCATTTCCTAGAATTAGGATCATCCTCACCTGGCTTCTGATTGGCCCGGCGTGGGTGCGTGCTCTGCGCCTCCTGGTCTCCTCGGCCGCGTTGGGTCCCACGCCCGCTGCAAGGTCTTGTGGGAGTTGTAGTTCCCACTCCGGTCTGTCCAGTCGCGGGACTTTAGTCGCTCAGCTTCGGGTTCCCTCAGGTGGCCACCCCAGTGGGTAAGGCCCAGGCGGCGCTCCTGCCCCGCGCACCCTCCCTCTGCCTCTCACTACTTTCCAGCCGCCGAGGCCGTGGAAGGTAGGGGCGGGGAGCAGCGCCAGGTGGACGAGGAGCCCTGGGGCAGGGTCTGGGCTTCCTCGCGCCGCTCGCTGTGGCACCCGCAGCCCGCCCGGGCGGGGACGGTGCGGGCGCCGCTGGAAACGGGGCTGTCCACAGGACTCCCCCGCGTCTACACCAGCCGCGTCTGCACGCTCAGGTCCGGCCCACGCTCTGGAAACCCCTAGCAGTGACCCTTAGCCTTTCCTCCCCGGGAAACGGAGGCAGACGACCACGCCGTGCCCGGTCAGCTCTGGGCGTCGCACCCATAGCGTAGGGTGGTTTTGCGTGTCCTATGCAAGTGATGGGACTGCGGTAAGCACCCCTGGGTTCCCTGAAGAGCCGACTGAACACGCGCCTAGGGTATCCGCAAAGCACCCCGCAGAAAAGACATTCTGGGACAGAATGTGACGTGTATCAAAAAGAAAACAAAACTCGAATCCGTTGGGATGAACCATGCCCTGGTTCAGTGGTGTTTTTAATTTCAAACGCAGGAATTCTTAAAAGTCATCCAAGCGTGGGAAGGGAGGCAGGCAGTGGAACTTGCCCAGTGCTCGCGACAACTTCTCAAGGTTCCAAGTCTGGCCCTGCTACCTGACCCTGCTACCACTCGCCTTCCAGGCCCCTTCAGGGGAACATGAGCCTGTCACCCCCTACCCTAATAGGATTCTGTTTAGAAGGCCCAACCCGACGGGAAAAATGCTTGCGAAAGTTTGCCACTTGCAAACTTCCTGCAATTATATTTTGGGGTCAGTCAAAAATGTGCTAGGGACCAGCAGAAAATGCTTCTTATGGTTGTTTCCTAAACGTTCGGGTCAGTTTCAGACACGGAGCTCCGGAAGGCGGTGCAGGCTTGCACCAGACTGAGTTACCGGTGCAAGAACTCTCCCTTTCAGTTTCCGTTTTATGGCCAGCGGCCTGGACAGCGGAGCCTTCTGGGAGTTGGAGTCTGGCATCTCGGTGCTCGGCGGGCTGGTACTCCACCTCCCAGGGTTCTCTGCCCTACCGAGGTGTCCGCTGGGAGATGAAGTCTCAATGCCCGCAGTTCCCTAGAGCAGCTCTGCGGTTCCGATCTACAACTCCCATATGTCTCTGCGCTGCCAGCCTTTGAGTCCACGTGCTGCTTGCTGGACCAGAGATGTGTTAATTCGATATGTTTTGGGTACCTTTGTTGACTCCATAAACTGTTCCAAATGTAAGTTGTTAAAGTGAGCGCGCATGCCTTCAAACAAAGCTCGCATGTTACCATTATCTCTGAATTGCCTATTTTGTGGGTGAGAAAATTTGTCAATAGTCGCACAGTTAGTAATGCAATGTAAATTTAAATACTGTGCTAGTGTATACTATATAAATAATACATAATATGTTTCACACGTTTGTGCAAGTATTGCTAGTATTGAGTGCTTGATCTTAGAAGAGAGAGACCATTTTTATGTCTATTTTACATAATAAACTAAGGCTAGAGAAGTTAAACCACTTGTTCAGCGTAATTTATCTAGTGCATAGAAGGAATGGGATTGTATCTCAGCCTACTGGGCAGTCTATCTTTAGACCAAGACCTTACCTGACAGATCTGAGAGGGAGCCCGACGTCTCAGGCTGCAGATCTTGGAATCCTTCCACTCTACAATGTTAACTCTGTAGTTAAGCACTGCAGTTGGATCTGAAAGCATTCTTGAGATCATTCAAATCCAAGACAAAGATCTTGGAGCAGTTCTAGTCATCTAGTAAAAGTTTCGCAACAATTAGCTTTATGTGGCTTTATAATAATTTGATTTTGGAGATGAGGAAACTGGTCCAAGATAGAAAAGCAGTTCCCCCAAGGTCACACGATGTGTTTGTATGAGAAATCAAACTAGACCTAAGCATCTTTTTACCAAGTTCAGGGTTATTATTATTTCCACCAGCAGTCAGCTATCAGGAGCACCAGATGTGTTGTAGTTTAGATAATGACTTCTCTCCTAGTTTGACCAACTGTTGTAAAGTTTTTATTATTGGAAAGTTCACAATATTTCATTAATTCAACTGATACCTTTTTGAGCATCTCTAAAGGCAAACATATCACCATCTCTTGTTAGGTTCAGAGGCTACAAGGAGGTGGGTTAGGGCTGGAGGGCCTTATAAATAATTTAATATGTTTCCTTTTACAAATGACCAGAGTGGTCTGCCATGTTTATCTCATGCCCCGTGGTTTCACTCCCAGCCCTTGCCTCCAGGTTTCTGGAGGATTTCTAGGACTGTGTTGACCTTTTTGGATTCATGGTTTCTTTGTGTCCCTCTTAATCTCATTTCTATACACTCTTAGGGGCAATGTTTCTCTGTCCTCATCGTTACATGAATTTACATGCGGCTGTACATGGTCCGGTGCCATCCTCACACTTGTTCTCAGGTTTGAGCCCACGGTTGTAGCCACTGTGTCAGTCTGTCTCCTCGAGGGCCTGCTCCTTCCTTGATGTCCTTACACTTTACTGAGCATTATGTCCTGCTCCAAGGACTGGTCTCTCCTGATCACATGACCAAAGTATGTAAGATGAAGTCTTGCCATCTTTGCTTTCCCATGCATGCATATAAGGTGATTGAAAATACACAGTGGGAGGAAAAAAATTCCCTGTCATTATTCCTACATGAATGTAGACACAGCTTCAATAGGATCCACTTCTGTTTTGGGAATTAATCTTCTTTAGGCTCTCAATGCTCTTTTCTCTTTTGTTCTTTCAGACTCTAGAGAAAAAATCTGAGACAGTTTGAATTCACAGATCTGAATATGGAATTCTCTGTGTTGTTGTTAGGGGCAGCCTTATGTACAACAGAATGAAACACTGCCCGGTCCTGCACTGTCCTTAAAATTGTTCTACTGTTTGAGCCCATTGCTGCACTCACTGTATCAATCCATCTTGTGAAGGATCTTCCCATTTTTCTCTGTCCTTGTAGTTTAGCAAGCATGACATCCTTCTCCAGGGACTGGCCTCTCCTGGTAACATCTCCAAAGTATGTGAGATGAAGATTTGCCATCTTTGTGTCTAAGAAACATGCTGGCTGGACTTCTTACCATATAGATTTGTTTGTTCTTTTGGCTGTCCATGTTCTTGTTAGGTGCTGTACGGTTGGTCCTGATGCCTACTGACCCTATGTGTAACAGTATAACCACCACCTGGTCCCGCACCTTCCTTACAATTATTCTTATGTTTGAGCCCATTGTTGCAGCCACTGTGTCAATCTATCTCATTGAGGGCCTCCTTCTCCCTTGATGCCCCTACACTTTACCGAGCATGATGCCCTTCTCCAGGGACTGGTCTCTTCTAATAACATGTCCAAGCCTCACCCTCCTCCCTCTAATGAGTATTCTGGCTGTGCTTAATCCAAGAAAGCTCTGTTAGTTCTGTTGGAAGCCCATGCTACTATCTATATTCTTCACCAGCTTCTTTTATCCATTCTTCTTTTATCATTATTTTTTAAAATCTTCTTCAATACCCAATCCACATACAGGCACATGAGACAATTGAAAATACCATGGCTTGGGTCAGGCTCACCTTAGTTTTTAAAGTAACCATGTCAGTCTGGGTTGACTAGAGAAACAAATTCATAAACATGCATATATATATATATGAAAGAGCTTTATAGACAAGAGCAGTTGAATATTGAGTAAACATCCTATCCCAGTCCAGATCAAGTCCATCATCCTGATATTAGCTCATATGTCCAATACCAATCTTTAAAGGCCTCTTCACACTCACGAAACACATGGACTGACACCAAATGAAGGAAGATCACAGGCCGGTGAGTGGGAAGTCTTGTGGATCCAGTGGTGTTGTAAGCATCTCAACGCTGGCAGGGGTATCCATGTGGCTTCTCTGGCTCCAGAGGTCTGACTTTGTCAGCCTCTCTTCATGTGTCTTCTCCACAGGGATGTCTCACAGGGAGTGAGCCGAGAGAGAGTGTTTCCCTCCTCCAAGGAGGAAATACAGGAGTTCCCAGAATCCTCAGGAGAAGGTCATGCCCACACAGAAGCCTCATTGGCTATATCCTGATTGACTGGCTAGACTCAACCCCTACACCTCTTAATCCTCAACTTGACACCAGATTATGTAACTACCATGGTCACTTCCTTGTTTTTCTCTATAGGTTATCAGAAATGAAACTTTTGTTTCAGATGACACATTGGTCCTTTCAATGATGTATTTGCAGATAAAGCTAACACCTCTTGCGTGTGAAAGATGATTTCTACATAATTGGATACTAAAGTAGCAGCTTCGTAACTTATTGGCTAAACATTCCTGGAAACAGTCACTGTGGGAGAAGTGCTTGTCGCACCCCCACCCCCTTCCTACCACACTGCTCCCTCAGGCTGACAGTCTGAGCCTTTAGCACACTACCTAGCAAGGGGATGCTGTTGGTGGAGCTGCCTGGAGCCGCACTCATAGGCAGCACAGAATCCTTTTCTGGGCATCCATTTTCTCTTCCCTTTATGCGGTCTCGACCTGTAAGATGTGGCAGGTCACTGTCCTTTCGACATCTATATTGCAGAGAAAAATCTCAGTCTGTGAGGTCATCCTCCATGGAGCTGTCTCCGGAAAGGCCCTGCGTGGGACTTCTCAGGTGAGGCAAGACCAAGACAGCAGCAGAGAAGCAACAGAAGGAGGAGTCTGGCCCTCTGTGGCGTGAATCCAGCCCTTCCTCATAAGCAGATTCCTTTTGCCCTTGGTTTCCTTTTCTGTAGAGCAGGCATCCTAAGTATTTCGATCTCATAGAATGATCAGGAAGATGAAATCTGATAGTGTATTTAAAACTTTGAGCGTGTCACCTGGCACTCAGTAGCCTACATACAGTAGATAAGTATTAGCCCTTTTTATGATGGTGCATGTACATTTGGTATGTGAAAATTCAGGTTCGCTCTAGATGTAGACTTGAGACAAGTATCTGTTAAAAAGAAAAGAAAAGAAAAGGATTCTCCGTTTTTTCTCTTAAGAGTAGGAGGCTTGGCCA